ATGTATTTAATACTTCGTACAAATACATTGTGACAGCTTCAAGATGCCTCCTGTATGGAGAACCAAGTTGCATGCATTGCTCAAGTGTGATTTTGGCCCATTCTTCCACAGTCTTCAAATCTTGAAGGCTCCGTTTGCCTCTTCTTTGAACTTTAATTTTTCTTTGAATCTTTAGTTATATAAATAGATTTTCTATTGGATTCAAGTCAGGTGACTGGCTGGGCCATTCTAGCAGCTTTATTTTCTTTCTTTGAAACTGATTGAGAGTTTCCTTGGCTTTATGTTTGGGATCATTGTGTTGCTGAAATGTCCACCCTCGTTTCATCTCCATCATCCTGGTCAATGGCAGCAGATTTTTATAAAGAATGTCTTGGTACATTTTTCCATTCATCCTTCCTTCAATGACAGGAAGTTTGCCAGTACCGTATACGGAAAAACACAGCCCCACACCATGATGTTCCCACCTCCATGCTTCACTGTTGGTATGGTGTTTTTGGGGTGATGTGCAGTGCTATTTGACCTCCAAACATGGTGTATTATGACATCCAAAGAGTTCAATTTTGGTCTCATCTGACCGGACTATATCCTCCCAGTATTTCACAGGCTTGTATAAAGGTTGTGCAGCAAACTTTAAACGAGCTTCAACATGCTTTTTCTTCAGCAATGGAGTCTTGCGTGGTGAGTGTGCATACAGGACATGGTGGTTGAGTGTATTACTTATTGTTTCCTTTGAAACAATTGTACTGGCTAATTCCAGGTCTTTCTGAAGCTCTCCACAAGTGATCCTTGGCTGTTGGGCAACCTTTCTGCTAATTCTTTTCACTCCTCTGTCTGAAATATTGCGAGGAGCACCTGGTCGTGTCCGGTTTATTGTAAATTATGTTTTTTCTACTTCCTGATTATGGCCCCAATGGTGCTCACTTGGAAATTCATAAGTTAGGAAATCCTTTTGTAACCCAACGCCATCAGTATGTTTTGCAACAATAAGGTTTTGAAGGTCTTGAGAGAGCTCTTTGCTTTACCCATCATAAGAGGTTTCTTGTGTGATACCTTGTTAATGAGACGTCGTTTTATAGGCCATCAGTTGAGACTGAACCAGCTGACATGAATTTGCATTGACAAGGGGCAGGATTGCTTTCTAATTACTGACAGATTTTAGGTGGTGTCTTGGCTTTCCATGCCTTTTTTGCACCTCCTTTCTTCATGTGTTCAGTACTTTTTCCCTGTGTCATTCCATTTTATTACACATAACTTGTTTCTGAACTTATTTGTTTTGGTTTTGTTGTATATATGGATTGCATGGACTGTTAATGTGGTGAAACATTCATGTCAATAGCACCTTTAGAAATATATTTACATAGAAAAATGGTGACGTGTTCAATACTTATATTACCCGCTGTATATTATACACACCAAGCATTCACCCTTACATCCACCCCTTCAAATAATTAAAGTCCAGCATTCAGCAAGCCTGTGAATAAATGTGTCTGGACTCACTATTTAATGAATATGCCCTTAACGGCAGCAGAAAAAACTGGTTTTACATATACTTTAAAAATCAAAACAAATTGCCTCAGCAAAAGTGGCTGCATTTATTTAAGTCTTTCATTATAAATTCTGCCAAACAATGCTCGGCATTTGCTCGACATTTGACACGTTTCAAGCTAGCTCTTGTTGCAAACAGCTGAGAGTCTCCAACACCCTCATGGTTAGGTATAAATTCAAAATTACAGATCAAGACTAACCTTTCCCCTTACAGCACCATCATTACGTAACAGGCCCTCCATTACCCTTTCATTAATGAGATTTGTCGGAAAAGAAAAGAAAATATAAAAGTTTATCCCATGAATAAATTGTGGGTCATTGTTTACCCTGTCTTTCACATTCACTCAACAGACATCCTTCTTTGACAGATAGTTAGACATTGATCTGTTGCTTGATTTTGTCCTCCATGCTCAGCTAATAAGGTTGCTGAACAATTTGGATTTTGTTTTTCATGGCAATAGGCAACCAATGTAGCAAGATCAACCTTGTCATTCCCCGATAATGAAAGATATACGGTGGCATGGTGTCACCTCCATGCCAAGTTCTCTTTTGTTTGCTCCGGTTTAGTTAACGATAAAAGAGCTGTCACTTCTTATTTATTTATTTTTCCTTTGCTAAACCAATCTTTTTTTTTCTCTTCTTTACAGTTGTGCGCGTCACCGTGTCAACCCTAGAAAAGTTTCAAAGACATCTGTGAAAGTTTAAGCGTGAGTGTCATAGGCAGAAAAATTTGCAATGGCAATCTACAGAGAAAAATTGTGAAATGATTCTGTATTGAAAAGCACATATGATATAAAAATAAATGTAAAGAAATGGAAAAGTAATGAAAAAAAATTAAGCATAGATTTTAATACTCAGTTCAATTAGTAGCTGTTCCCTGCAGTAACTGTTCCTAATCACATGATGTCCTAAGTCTGATGGCCCAGTATAACTCAGTATAAAAAACTGAGGACGTCCTGTGAGTGCAGGGTGTCAAAGGCCCACCCCCTGGGGTACTGTACTGATGCATTGAGTGACACTGATGTCATTCCATCTGCACCAGTCTCTGCATCAGTAAAGAAGGCACAAGGTGGAGATGAGTTAAGGGGGGAGACAACCTTGTGAGTTCACCTAAGTGCCTGGAATTGGTAAATACAAAAAATAGCATAAAATGCAAACTGGGGGAGGACACAAGGGGATCTGTTTGGGAAGGTGTGTGTGTGTGTGTGGGGGGGGTACATGAAGCACTGAGTTGGCTTTAAAGTGAACCTGTGCTTTGTATATGCAGGGAAATGAAGGGGTTCACATTAATGCCAGCCCCTGTAGCTTCTTATACTTCCTTCCATTACCCATCTGCTATGTTCCCCCAGAATTAAAGAGAAGTCCTGTCCAGGGGCGTCCCTAGCGATAACACTTGGTGACATCCCTCCGACGATCCCCGCAGCAGAATGGATCGGATCTGTGGATTGAGCATAATGGATCAGACTCCAATCTATTATGCTCCCAATCCGCAGATCTAAACCATCCTGCGAAGGTCATCGGCTTTCTTTACACCTTACCTTTTTGTGGAGCGGGTCCGTTGTCACCCCATATAGGTTGCATTCCGATGAGCCCTGCAGGATGGTTCAGATCTGCGGATTGAGCATAATGGATCACAGTCTGATCCATTATGTTCCCCAATCTGCAGATCCGATCCATCCTGCGTGGAATTGTCAGCATGCAACCTATACGGGGTGACACCGGACCCGCTCCAGGAAAAGGTAAGTTGTAAAGAAAGCCGACGATCCCTGCAGGATCGTCCGATCCATCCTGCAGGGATCATCGGATTGCTTTACAACTTACCTTTTCGTGGAGCGGTTCCGGTGTCCCCCCGTGCGGTAGGTGTCACCCGGTGCGGCGCGCACCACCCGCACCTGCCTCGGGACGCCACTGGTCCTGTCTAAGCTTCAAGTGAATTCTGTAAGCTTGATAAGGCAACTTTATAGCAAAAAGTGTGTGAACAGCCCTTCAAATGATTGTATTCAGGTGTTTCTAGTGAAGAATACTGTTAATACTACAGCAGAAAAAATCTTGTGGAAAGCCTAGAATAGCAGAGGCTGTTATAGTTGTAAAGGGGGAGGCAACTCCATAATAATGTCCATACTTTTGGAATGGGATGTCCAGAAAGCGTGATGGTTAGGTGTACAAAAATCTATTGTCCTTATAGTGTTATCAGTGTGATGGTTTGGTACAAAAAAAACCTTTGGCCATAGTGTATGTGACAGATTTACAGCGTTAGGCCTCATGCACACAGGGCTTTTGCCCATCTCTCCTGGACTCCTTTCCTCCTGGCAGCAGCATTTTTGCAGCAAAAGCATTTGACGCTTGTAAACGTACCTAGATGCATTGAGACACGTCAAGCACTTGAGAGTTAATTAATTTCATTGGCCAGAACAACTATTTGTTTTGGCCATTGAAATTAATTAATATGTTTGCACAAGTCAAGCGTTATTTCTGCCAAAACGCTGCTGCTCCTGGAAGCACTGGCAGAGTTGTTTTGTTTTTCTGCTTCTAAATGCATATATATGCAGAAACACAAAGGCTAACATGCAGGGGCATTTATAGGCAGAAAAAGAAATCAAGACACCCCTAATAGCAGAGTTAAAAACATCCAGTGTGCATAAAGCCTTCATCTGCTGCCTCCCCTGCAGTACTCATTGATTCTTGCTGTCCTCCACATCACTACTCTGTCCTATTGTGATGTGGAGGTTGGCGGGAGAAACCATTGAACGCTGCAGGAGACACAGCAGATCAACACTCCTGGAAGTGGTGGTTCCAGATGAAACTTCAGCAGAGGATTTCTCTATAATATAGACATGCTCAGTGGTTTAGAGAAACAAGAGGTGATTATTCTCTTTAGTCTTTAACGTTTTAAAGTGTTACTAAATCCACAACAGTAAAATCAGTCTGTATGTGCAGTATTGCATGCTTGTTATTCTCACTGTGGAACCTAAAGGGTTAATGCTTTGCATTGTGTAAAAACGCTATTTGATCCTGACTTCTCTGATCCTCCCCTTCTTCCAGTGTCCCCCTCTTATCTCTTGATAAAACATATAGTGTGGAGTCACTCTGCTTATGCTCAGTTTGGCGTATTGTTAGAGAGGTTTTTTTTTCTTGGGAGAGTGCATGTGATCAGCACAGGGCCAAGCAGCACTGTTCAGACAGAGGTCAGGGGTTCTGCATCCTCCTAGAGTAAAATTAAAACTACTCCTACAAGCTTTAACCAGTGCCCCGACTGGACACTGATAGAAGTCACAAAACTGCTCTAACTGCTGAGGAGAAAAGGCATTCAGCAGTTTATATTTACTAAAATAATTGTATTTCCATGTTCTGTGTACTGTGGGAGACCAGATATAGTGAATGCAGGGTCCTGGGTTTAGGGACACTTTAACCTCCCTGGCGGTATTCCCGAGTGTAGCTGGGGGTGAAATTTTAGTACCAAAAGCGGTAACCCCGAGCTACACTCGGGCTTACCATGCGGCGTTGCTCAGGGATTCCCTGCAGCACTTACCTTGACTTCGCTCCCGCAATGTCCCTCCTGCAGCATCCCTGGCCATCTCTTCCGGCCGATGCCGGCATCCGGCTTCCATGTTCCGGTCCCTGTGACGTCGGGACATAAGGCGGCCGGAACCAGTGGCAAATTTAAAAATTTTAAAAACTGTCATTTTTTTGTAAATGAATATTACATAGCAAAACATTGCTGTATCAAAGCATTTCACATACATTTTGTCCCTAGAGCTTTGTCCTGTGCCCTGCCGGCATTTTGACTGTTCTTTCTGCCTGGAAACTTAGAAAAGTCCATGGGGTCCAAAAAGTGTCCTTTTAGATCAAAAGCGGTTTTAGACCGGCTAGAGAACAGCGATAGTAAATCAGAACCACTTGCAGAATTGAGTGATAATGATTTGTGGGGAAATTCGTCATCAGACACTGAAAACGATTTTGCGACTTTGCTCAGTGATGTGCGAACTTGGCGCTCTATTTTAAATTTCAGTGTTTTTAGTTTGATTATATTATTGAATTAAATTTATTATTATTATATTATTATTTTTTATGATTATTTATTAAATTATAATTTATGATTTTGTGTTTAAGTTTTATCATATCCGGAATGTTTACTAGACTCTTGTTCAGACAGATTTCAGTGAGTTATTCATAAAAATTACATGCCTACAATAAAAAAACTACATATTTCCATGCAAAATAATGGTACCGCTTTCAGCACCAAAAATCTGAAATAATCAGACCGCCAGGGAGGTTAAGTTTTGCTTTTTTCAACAACTTTATGTAAGCGACCTGAGAATAGGTTGGTAAATAGTTAAATGTAAAATTCAGAGAATTAGAATAATATAATTCAGCTATAACCAGGAGGCCTGCAAAATCATTGTCTAAGCCCCTTCTTTTTTTTTAACTCAGTGACAGCTTGTTAGACACTCAGCTGCCTACAAGTCTCAGAACTTCCTACCTAAAAAATTCCCTGTCCTGCTAAGGAAGGATTAGGCAGAGATAGGATGATGTATGAGAATTTCCATCATTCAAATCGTTCTGTGAAAAAAAAACAGGTTCATTATGAATTCCTTGTGGATAAAGGGCCCCTCCGATCTTTGCACAATGGCCGCATGCCAGTGTGAACTTAACAAGCCAATAACGGCAATAACGTTTTCAATATACAGTATGTATGCCGCTACTCTCGTGCTGTGCAGAAGCAGTCAGTCAAATTTGACTGATGTGATATCTGCCAAGCTCATATCAAGATTCGCCTGGCTGCACCTAGGATGTGGCATTAAGATACAGAAAAAAAAAAAAAAGAAAATTGCCAATTGTCATGAGGAATCTAGAACCTCATAAAATATTCTTTTAGAAGTGGCTTCTCCCTATGAGCTTTTGATTGTTAAGTCTAAGCTGTAACTGGCACTTAATCTGCTCATCGGGGCCTACATAATATATAGAGTGAGCTCAATGGAATACATTGTTGGATTCTCAGAAATATGATTAAAAATAAAGTTAAACAGTCCACCCGACATCTGGTGACATTCTGTTTTCTGCATAATTTCCAGGAGATAAATAGGCTTTTCGGTGAATGACTTGGCGTTGGGACGTAGAAAGGACTCCATGGTCGCACAAATTAGATTGCTGCTACTTATACAGTGGGAGTAGTCAACTCCCCAGTCAATTTCAAGCTCCTGCCTAATTCATGAAGCGTGTGACATGGTCAAGCAAGCAAGAATTTAATGAGTGATGGAGATAATCTCGTAATAATTACAGGCTGTGTCGGAAAACAATAACAACAACGCAACGTATTGCTTGTGATGAATATATTTAATTTGGAAAGACAGTGAAGTAGATAAAGAGGAACTTTATCTCCCCGTATTATTTTTTTTTTTCTTTCTCCTTACCTGGTTATCTTCAAAACTCATACTCACATGTCCATTGAATCAAGCATTGTCCTATTGACATCTTCTTTATTTATGTCATGAGTGGGTGGTTGTCTCCTCCAGGTTCTTGCAGCTGACCCTTAGTGATACACAGCTGCACATGTGTAATGTGTTCCATATTGTACTGAGGCCTCCTGGAATGTGTGATGTAAGTATCTGAGGAGGCTTTGGGCAGCTGGAGGTGTCTTTCTTACCCAGATGAGAAAAGTGGAATTGTGGGCTGCACTCAAAAAGAGATATTTCTTGTACCTAAAAAAAATATGGTATCTGTGATTTCTTGAAGGAGGGTGGAGCAATATTGTTT